TCGCAATGAGTCTTCATGTAACGAAATCTTTATGCTGTCCTGCAATAAGGCAACGATGGGCCAATCCATAAAACATTGCCAATTTTCTAATGCACTTTGGACGGCGATGGCTCGTCCGCTTAAATTCCGTTTTAACTTGAGGACAATGCTGTCGTTCGCTGAGTTAATTAGTTGCCTTATAGACTCAGACAGATGCGGACTGTACTGAATGGAAGGGGTGACTTTTGGCGCCTGTTTTGGGTGAAGATTTTTGCCAAGTTCTGCCTCCTGTTCACTTTAACTTGAATTTTTTGGATGCCAGTTTTGTCTGGTGGAAGGCATCATCGCGAACGTGATCGACTTCCACTCTCAACTCATTAAATACTGACGGTGACGTGTAAAGTTGTAAGGAAGTCCGTGATTTTCATCATTTCCGTGTATGGCTAGACTCTAAAGCTGCTGTCCTTTCGAACTCTTGAAGTCGTACCAGTTTCAACGAGATCTTACCATCTTTTGAGGATGTTTTTGGTGGATGCCTGCCGTCAGACTTTACGTTCAGTATTCATTTCGCAAAGCGACTATTGACCATTCGCTGGCAGTGGCACCATAAGCTTAAGCGCTCAGTTAGCGGCCATTCGATCACTAATACTTGATATTCTAATCTCGTTCTTACAACAGTCTTCAAGTTGAGGTCATGACTTTTCATTTTTAATAATTATCTAAAAATTTTTATTTCCTCGTTTCCCTCATAGGATCAAAAAACGCATAGGATGATGACAAAACGAGTTTGGGAACTGTAGGGCTGTTTGGTGTCGTTGTGTGGTTTTCAACCTTCATTTTCAAGGACATGCAACAGTAGTTAAGAAACAGTTTAGCATATTTTGTATATGGTATTCACAGTACAGCAGCAGCGGCTTAGGTGATTGCTTTATGGACATTTACAACGTTACGTTGGAAAGATGGCTAGGCAAAATTCGCAACCATCATCTCCATTACACTATTATGACGAGCAGCAATTATGGCATCTTTGCTTCAGGATGGAACTCATGACACATCGATGATCTTGTTTCCGCGTCGTCAGTCAGACATGCCTTGTTGCTTTTCTGAAGGTCATGTCTGCACGTAAATGATCACATGACTACCTAGTTATGAGGAAGAATGAATCATCTGACCGAAGCTCGAAATATTATCTTACGACTGTGAGTTCAACACTGAAGCAACTCAACAAACCTAAAGCACATGTTGCAGTAGTTACTTAAATTGGAATACTGTATTTTGCCAGGGCAACGTGACATAGCGCCTTTACCTACTATTTACAGAGAGAAACAGCAACGTTGTTTTAAAGTGCCATTTTTACCGCAAACTGCGTCATTCTGAAGTATACTCTAAGTGAAGTTTAAGGGCAGATTTTGGAGTCTTAAACAGTCAACCCTTTGAACAACAGATGGCACATTTCGCTTTCAGCCTGAGCATTGGTTGTATTGTTGTATTGCAGCGAGAATCAATTTTACTCACCGAACTCATGTATGCGTTTTGTTGATCAACACGTTTCTGGTGGCCATTGTTTGAGGATGATCCTACTCGATGGCAAGATTGATGAACGATACCGTGAGGGAGCAGTCGCAGCTGGAAAACAGGTCGATGAAAACCTCATCGCTTTCCCTCACTGCAACCATTTGTCTGTGTCTTTCAATCGCTGCCAAGACAAGGGTCCATGCTTGTGGCAGGCTTCACTACAAACAAAGAGAGAGTGAGTGAGTCTGCGTGACGCGCGAAGCAGCTGAAGGCTCTTTTTTGTCCGACAAGACGACTATCGACGGTGGCACGTCTCTTGGAGACAAGAGACACCGGCTGGCCGACGGCACACGAATCGCTGCAGGCAGGCCTCCCTTGTTCGCTCGAACATCGCCAGTCATTATCCATCGTTTACACGGCGCAACACCGACGAAGACGGCCGCTTGTCATTCAACCCTCCCGCTACCTCACTCTTCCGAATGCCTCATCCTCATCGAATACCCAACGCCTAGCTCTGCCGGAAATCATAATCTGCGTTGCATGATCAAGACGTTGTCTGTTGCCTACTTCATTCGACACACACGATGATCACATTTTTAATCTGATCATAATAATAACAA